AAGTAGATCTATAAACATATGAAAATCTTGAAAATTGACGGTGTAGATAATATTTCTAAGACTTAAAATCTTTTTATTTTTCATGATCATACATCTCGATGTCAAGATGATCAATCAAAGGGTTTTTCAACATCAAAACTACCTTTTTCAATGGATTTTTGAGGCGCATCCGCAGTTCTACATTATAAGGTTGCATTCTTATATAAACTTTTTCCCTCAAAAATATCTCAAAGCATGTCCAAATTTCCCTTATTAACTATAAACAAGCAATTATATTTCACATCCTATTTGAGATCACCCTAAAATCCTTGTATTTAAAAGAGAGAGGTTTGTATAAGTTGCCCTTCTTATACTGTAGAACTAAGACTTGTTGGAAAATGTTTGGGTGAAATAGGGGCAAAAAATAATACAATTTCAAAAAAACAAAAGCTTGATCCCTTCTTGTTTTCGGGCACAAAAGAGCGTTATTTCAAGATGGTATTTGTCCCCTTTCAATACTGTATTTGGTGTGCATAAGAGGGCAATTCCTTATCGGGATACAGAAAAACCGAGAGGTCTTTTTGGATGTTCCAAGGCTCTATGTGCCCGAGCTTAAAAACCACACACTAGACACCATAGTCTTGCTATTTTAGAGAGAGAATGAGAGAAACACGAGTAGAGAGAGAGATATTGACCCATTGGTTTTGCTTCCTGAAATTACAGAGAAAAGTGTGTTTTTGAGAGGCTAAAAAATGTGTTCTTAGTATCTGACTCATATGGGTAGGAGGGGTCCTTGTTATAGAGGGCCAAGAGGCTGCACATGCAGTGTAATGGCGGTTATATACATCACCACCAACTACAAGTTACTAAACTCCATTGCATCAACAGTTAGAAGACCATTGGATACCCCACATGCATCAATGGTTAGTGTACATGCCACTTGATGACTGTCGTGCTATTACTAACCTCCATTTTATTAATGGCTAGAAGACCGTTGGATATCTCACACGCATCAACGGGTAGTGTACATGCACTTGATGGCTGCTGTTTCTAGCCTCTATTTCATCAACGGCTAGAAGACCGTTAGGTATCCCTCATGCATCATTGGTTAGATCATTATTGGCTATCCCACACGAGCTGGGCTTTGGATGTCTCACATGCATTGACGATTAGTGTACATGCACAGGATGATTGCTCCTCTATTTCATCAACAACTGGAAGGTTGTTGGATGTCCCACACACATCAACGGTAGCTAAATAACTGTTGGCTATCCAACACGAGCTCGGCTTACAAAAAGCTATCGAGCCGCATGTGCGCATCGGACACTTTGTGTGCTCTACACATGTACCATCTCTCTCACCTTGACTTGAGAGTATAAAGCATGAGAATGCCTAATATTAAATATTGCTGATATAACTTTATCCTTTTCAATGTAGGACTCAAACCCACAACTTTCTTTCTCTACAAAAACAGCTTAAGAAAAACCACAAAATCATATTATTGCTTTGAAATACACACAAGTATTTTTCAAACCAAAATACTAACAAGACTCACCTCAAAATTTGCCTTGGAGATGCAGTTTCAATGTCAAAAATCTTATAACGGGTTAAAAGTCTATTTCCCAAAAATAATAGAGATCAAGTAGATTTATAAACATATAAAAATCTTTAAAAAATAGGGTCTAGATAATATATAACAATATGCATTATTTTTAGGACTTTAAAGTTAAAACTCATTTGTTTTGCATATTTATACATCTAGAGGTCAAGATGATAGTCAGAAGGTTTTCCAACATTGAAACACTCTCTTCTATGGATTTTGAGGTGCACCTTACTTCGATGATGCAAGATTCACACCTTATATAAACTTTTCCTTTTTCAAAAGGGGTTGTTTGTGTGTATATATGTCAATAAGATGTACTATTTTTATGACTTAAATTTGTTTATTATTTATTTATATCTTTTTTTTCTCTCTTTTTATTTTTTATTTTTATATATCTATACATTTTGAGGTTGAGATTATCACTTGCATTGTTTCCCAATGTCAAAATAACATATTTTTTAATAAATCTTTTAGGATAAAGATTAGGATATGCATACAATAAGATCATTTACTTTTGGGTGTGGTTTCAAATAAGGTTGCAACCTTAAACAATATAGTTAAGGCCCACCTCCAAATTTATCATGACATGTAATTTTGGTGTAAAAAATTCATAGGAATATTTTAAAATCTATTTTCATAGCTAATTATAAAATTTTAAACTCCAAAAATAGTTGAAATCAAGTTGATCTATAAACAAATGAAAAACTTGAAAATGAACGGTCTAGATAATGTGTTGCAAGATGCACTATTTATGGGACTAAAAATCTTTTTTTTTGTTCCATAATCATGCATCTCGATGTCGAGATGATCAATTATAGGGTATTTCAACATTAAAACAACATTTTCCAATGAATTTGTTAGGTGCATATTTAGTTCTACATTTTAGGGTTGCAACCTTGTATATGATGTTATTTCCTTTCCTTAGTATTAATAAAGGCAGTAATATTTGTCCGAAAAAAAGAAAAGTTGCAACCTCGTATAAATTGTTTCTTTTGGGAAAAAGTTTATATAGAGCCAAGGCTCTAAATAATCAAATTCGAGCCTATCTCAAAAATTTCACTAAAAGAGGTTGTTTTTATACCCAAATATCCTCAAATTAATCATCTCGACATCAAGATGCATAGACATGAGAAAAAAATGGATTTAAAGTTTTGAAAATAGTGTATTTTGCAACGCATTTTTGGACTTTCAATTTTCAAGATTTTCAAGTTTTCATAGATCTCTCGATCTACACTATTTTTTAAGCTTTAAAATTTATAAATAAATATAAAACTACACTTTAAGGGTATCAAAAAGATTTCTAATATTAAAATCATATTTTTTAACACTATTTGAAGGTAGGCTCTAATTTGATTATTTAGAGCCTAGACTCTATACAATCCCATCCTTTTTCCTTTACTTTTTATATGAAGTGGCGGTCTTTTCTGGTACTTACCCAAAACAAAAGGCAATCATTTATGGCCGTAAGATTTGAAGACAAAAGGCTGACAGTGTGCCATCGACTAGGTTTAATGTTAAAAAAAAATCTAGAGCTTTGTGACATATTCCAAAACATCTCATTTGACAAAACATCTCATTTGACATTTGACGGTTAACATTAATTGTCACCTCTAAAACAACTAATTTAACATTTGGCGGTTAAGATTAATTGTCACCTCTTAATCTCATAATATACGATCCCTACTAATTAATGTCGGGAAAGCTTTCTATGTTCTCATTACGATATAGAAGCTTTATTCTCTCCCTATCATCCAGCCGTCCATTTTTTATCAAGATAGCCACTCACCGTTTGATCTTAGATCCGACATCTGAAAGTATTATATTTTTAGTTTTTTTTAATACAAAGTTTTTGAATATGAAATTTGGTACGTGGCATCTTCTCATTAGAGCGCACCTACAAAAAAAATATTAACAATAGCTTTTTGATAAAAAATAATAACCAAAATACCCCTTGAAATATTCAAGGGGATTTTGGTTATTTTATTTTATTGAAAATATATATTTTTTATATATTTTTGTTATAGCAAGTTTAATAGAGAAATGGACGTCTAAAATTTGGTGTTAAAACAATTTATAGAAAAAATTTAAAAATAAAATAATATAGAGACGTGATATTGTGATTGGGGCAATCTTAGCCCTCTATTAAAAAATGGACAGTTGGAAAAGGGGGAGGATAAAACTTCTATATTGTAAAGGGAACGTAGAAAGCTTTTCATTAATGTCTCATTACAAAAAAAAATTTCAATAAAATAAAATGAACAAACTAGCCTAAAAGCTTTAGGGGTATTTTGGTTATTATATTTTGAGAAAATTACATAAAAATCTGTTATAATTTGTGTCATTACCGAAATACCAAATAGTTTACGTTATTACATGCACGTCTGTTTTTTTACCTTTCATAACGTAATATTTTAAAAAAGACCACTTTACTTTTTTTCGAATGTTGAACATCCGAATTGGTAGGATTTTTGAATGTTCATCATCCAAAAATAGGCCTAAAGCTAAACGTTAAATTTCTCATTTTCGAATGCTGAACATCCGAAATTAAAGAATTTTTGAATACTCCGATAGTTTAACATTAAGTATAATATTTTCAGATGTTGAACATCAAAAAATCTTTTAAATTCGGATATTCAATATCTGAAAATGTTATACTTAAAGTTAAACTATTAGGGTATTTTTGGACGTTGAACATCTGAAAATCCCTTAATTCCAGATGTTCAACATCCAAAAATAAAAATTTTAACATTTAACTTTCGGCCTATTTTAGAAATTTTGAACATCCGAAATAAAGTAAAGTGACAGTTTTAAAGAAATTGCGTTATAAAAAGTAAAAAACGGACATACATGTAATAATGGAAACTATTTGATATATCCATAATAATGTAAAATATAATAGATTTTTATTTAAGTTTCTCTTATATTTTATCAAAAATTTATTTGTAATATTTTTTATAAATGCACCACGATGAGAAAATGGCAAGTACCAAATTTCATATTCATATATAAAAAATTAAAAATAAAATACTTTAAGACATCATATCTAAGATCAAAATTACCAAATTTCATATTTATTCAATTTATATAAAAAAATTAAAAATAAAATATTTTAAGATGTCAGATCTAAGATCAAACGGTGATAGTTCTCTTGATCAAAATTTGACGGCTGGATGGCAGGGGAGGATAGAACCTTCCCTGAACGTGGAAGCGTACAAACCTTTCCCTGGACGTTTTTCCTTGAAAGGTTTCTAGTTGTATATGATGATGCACATGAGTTCTACAATTGATAGCACCTGATGATGCACATGAGTTCTACAATTGATAGCACCTCTGTAACCGTCAGATGCAAACCAGGGACGGTGAGGGGGCCACGTTCGTCCGCTCAAGTACCCTGGTTGGGGAAAGAGCCAAAAGAGTGGGTTTGGAAGATGTCCCATGCTTGAGAGAGAGAGAGGATGTCCTAGAGAGAGAGAGAGAGAGAGAGAGAGAGAGTACAAGTAAATAGTGGACTATTTCGTTTTAGGACTACGTAGGTAAGGAAACGGCGGACGTATTAGTTTAGGAAGGAAAGGAGGACGGACGGAAGACGTAGGTAGTTAGTT